ATATATATATATATATATATATATTCTAATTAATTTGATTAATTATAATGATGTATTTAATATGATATTTTTTTAGCTTTCACAAATTTAGAAAATGCAAGGTACAAACATACAAAGCCTAATCCATATTCCATAGTGAAGTAGCACATTTTCTTGTGTATGAATATATACATATAAACAAAAAAAATGTTTTGTATAACCAAATTATTTGTCTTATATCGAAAGATTTCCCATCAGATTTTATATAAAAAAAATGGTGTTTACAATATAAAGATATATAAAAATAGCAGGCTGTAAATTGCTGCACACCCAATAATTTAGAGGATAAAGTTTAAAGAAAAATGGTGAAGATTTATTATATGTGGAATTATATTTGTACAAAATGTTGTTTCAGTGTCCTTTTGATTCTTATGTTCAAAATCTAACACAAAAATCTAAGTGGGTCTATCAAACATATTGTGTTCCCTATCATACTTGTACTTATTACATATTCAATTTTATATTATACAAACATCTTTTCTCTCTCTCTCTCTCTCTTTCTATATATATATATATATATATATATATATATATTTGGGATCATATGAGATCAAGAGTTTTTTGTGAGACCTGTTCTTAATCATTGAATTAGATCTACAATCCGACAATCTAAACATTCATAAACGCCACGAGATTTCTCAATAATCACAAAATTGTCACCATGCATTTAGACCATTAGATTATTAACTTATAAAGTTGATTAATGAACATAAATTGGTCTTACGGGTCTTACGAAAAACCTTTGGTCTCACATGAACCCAACCCTTTATATATATATGCTTTTAACTTCAGAAAATAAAAAAAATGAAAATAAGACAATAAAAGACTCAAATTCTAGATAAAAAAAAATAAGATACCTATAAGTGAAGAAACGAGTGTTCAAATCAGTGGTGGGTAAGAAACTTAAGTGACTGGACTCTGTGAGATATAAAAAAATTCAAAACCGAATAACTCAATCAAACAAAAATGGTTTGGGTTATTCGGTGTGCGGGTTAAACGATTCGGTTAATCAAATATGATACATTTCGATTTCGATTTTTTTTTACCATATCGGTTAACGGAATAGCAAATTATATTATATAATTTATATAATTTCCTTCTATACAAATTGGTTTGAACATATATAAAACTAAAGTAACAATAGATTGAAATATATTTAACAAAATCATTAGCCAACGTTATCATTATTAGCATGATTGCAAGAACTAGCGTTAGCAATATATGGGGAAAACGACTGTCAAACAAGAGAGTAGGAGAGGAGGTTTCATTAAAACAGACTAAGCCACCGAAGGAACCGTCAAAAATAACCGAAAGAACCAAGCATACGACTGTAAAAAAAAACAAAATTTTACCTATAATATTTAAAAAATTGCATTTGAGTGGGGCCTTTCCCCACCTTTATAAAATGTATGTCCGCCACTCGTTCAAACAACGCAAATTCTATTCATACCCTTCTATCAAAATCTATTAAAGTTTTCGTATCCCCTTTACACTAAACAACAAATTAACACTAGAACTGAATTTATATTTTCAGTTAATTTTATTTTTAGCCCCTATAGTTTTTTAAGTTTGTTACTTTTAACTTGTTCGATATTTCTCAACTATACCTATTAATTTTCTAGTTTTAATCAAATTAATTAATTAATAATGTATGAAATAAATGTGTTTTTTTCAATATTATAAACTTAATTATGTTTTTAAGATTAAAACAAATTAAAATTAACATTAATAATTATAATCATATCTATACTATCTTATTAAACAAATTTAACAAAAGTTTTAAAATCTTAAAATACTATATGACCAAAATATTCTTTATACTCATTTTTTCACTTTTTCACACTCTCCTCTTCTCACATGCACTCACCATCTCACAACCTATTTTTTTAAAATTATAATTTTAAATTTACACTTTATACCCCCATAATTAATTAATTAATTTACTTTACGTCCTTTACTTTTAAATGTTTCATTTTAAACATTTATCAAATTAACATATATAATCGTATATCAATTAAAACATGTTTAAAATATATTTTTATTTTAACATGTTACACAATTATAATCGTCTCGTTAATACATTCGAAATGAGTCAAATATTGAATAGTTTTTGACTTAATTATATTATTATATATTTTATATATTGTGAAAAAATATTTTTAATATTTACGATTTATACTTTTATAGTTATTTATTTACATATATACTATATATTTTAGGGTTAGGCTGTCCAAATTGCACTGTATAATATGTTTGAATTAATATGTTCTTGGGTTTTTTTGAAATATATATATATATATATATATATACATGTATTAATTCAACCTTAATATGAGTTTTTGGACAAGAAATAGGGTAAACAGTTGGAAATTTCATTCTAAAACCCATCTTTTTTTTGTCTTTTCATGGCTATGATCTGTCAAATTTGTAGTTTTCTTTATTGATTTTGAGTGTATATCTTAAAACTCAAGTTTCTTGGTTCTTTGTTATTGGTGTAAATCGAATACATTTGTGGAGTCGTTTAAATATGTTGGATTTTAAATATATTGGATTTTAAACTGTCATACAATTTTTTTCATCGATAGTCTGTAATTGGAACCATAACTCTTATTTATTCAAATTGTATTAATATGTAAAGACCAAGTGTAACATATATCATCGTTNGATAGTCTGTAATTGGAACCATAACTCTTATTTATTCAAATTGTATTAATATGTAAAGACCAAGTGTAACATATATCATCGTTAAATCTTATCTTATAAAACCAGTGGAACTTCAAAATCGTTAAAATTCATGGCTCCCGCCGCATGCGCAGGTACACAACTAGTAATTATAATTATAATTATTGTTTTATTAAAACTGTATTAATTTAAGGATTGTATTCTTACAACTAAAACAAATAAAGAATAACATTTATGATTATTATTTTGATTAATTATTATTTTATAAAATAAAAGACGTTAGAAATAAAATAACATTTTTTTGTTATCAATCATTTAAATCATCATATTCACGAGCACTATTACAATCTAAATATTTTGTGTACACGCTTAATGAAAATTGATACGAGGTAGTCCATGTAGTTGTCTCGGGAGATCTCTAATGCTTCCATTATTGCGTAATTTTAGACATTGGGTAATCTTTTGTTAATATCACTCTTACAAAATGGTTAACATTAACATATCTAATTATAAAAACCACATGTTGAACGGGTTTTAGCAATCCACTACTCCATTTATAATAATGTAATTAGTACCAAATAGTCAATGAATGTCAAATAGTGTGGGATAAGGGTTTTAAATTGAGCTTATTTTGAAGGTATAGACGAGATTATTATAATGATGTAATTTGTAAAATAAAAAGGAAACATATTCTTTAACATATTTTAGTTAATATATGATTATATATGTTAATAAGATAGGAATATAAAATGAAAAATGAAAAAGTAAAGGATATAAATAAATTAAATAAATAACTATCTATTTATACTATATTATAAAACATTTGACAAAAACTAATTCAAAACCAATTTTTTGCACGAAGTACTGTTTATTAATGCATATTACTTAAACTTCAAGATTATAAGTAAGTTGTGCGTAAGTACAACTTATTAAAGCTCCATGTTTGAATTCGTATAATTAACTGCAGATAAACATAATCAAATACAAGATAAACATCTCATTTTGAATATAAAAAATCTAAAATATAATCAAGATAATCATTGAGTTCTAACAAAATACTTAATTATTATCTTTATAAAAAGTTATATTATTAACAAAAATAAAAAATGAATTAAAGAAATACACAAAAAAGAGAGACTTTAAATAGTTAGTTTGGTACCAATATCAATATTCCTTTCAATTTTTTATGATATATCTTTGTATTTATATTTTATTCAAAAATAAAAATATTATTGTTTTTTCAAAACCACATAAAAACATATGATAACATTAACTAAGATAAAAAAACGAAATATTACAATCGAGATATATTTCGCTGCGTTGTGCGAGTACACTTCTAGTACTATATTAAAAACTTATTGAACAATGTATTTTTAAGAGATATAACTTATTATGTCAAATGTACAATAGTTAAAGTTTGTTGAACATCCACGATCTCACCTTGAAAATCAAATATTTTTATTTTTTAAATTACACTTTTATGCGCTTATAGTTACTTATGTAATTTACTTTATATCTCCCACTTTTTCATTTTACACATTTATCATATTAATATAAATAATCATATATAAACTAAAATGTATTAAAAATACGTTTATTTATTTTACAAATTATATTATTATAGTCACCCCGTCAATACTTTTAACATGTGACAAATGTCGAATATTTTTTTATTTAATCGTATTATTAAATATCATAAATACATAATGAATTGTTTTTAAACTTACATTTTATACCTTATAGTATATATATATTTTACACTCTTATCCATATATCTCTCCATAACCATGTCATCTTCGGATATTCAAAATCAAATCATTTTAAAATTTTAAATTACATTTTGTAATTTTATAATTAGTTATTTAATTTATTTTATATTCCTTGTTTTTTCATTATTCATTTTACACTATTACCATATTAACATAAATAATCATATATGAGCTAAAATACATTTAAAAATATGTTTTCTTTTTTATAAATTATACCATTATAATCGCCTCATCAATACCTTTGAAATGAGCATAATATCGAATATATGTGTATCTAATCATACTATTAAATATCATAAGTACACATGAATTAATTTGTCTTATATTCGAGTAAACTACGATTTTCGTCCCTATCGTTTTGAAATTTTGTTTTTCATTTATATGGTTATTAATTTATTGTTGTTTTTGGAGCTAAATCTATTAAAAATCTTTCATTTAAATTAGGAATCTTTTAGTTTTTTTGGTTTATTAAATATTGTTTTTGTTTGCTTTTTCGATGAATATCAAGGATGAAATACTCTTTGGAGTAAGAGTCCTTATAAATGAAATAAGTAATAAAACTACTTTGTCATCTCCAATACCCTAAGTTAAACCGGTGCTTGCTGTTGGATCTGGTGAATTAAGCATATGAAATTTTTTATTATTCTGTAATTGTTTATGCTAAAGTAATTAAAATATTTTTCACGCAATTTCTTTTTCTTCATATTTTTTGCCCTTATGGTTTTATCTATATCTATACCATATTAAAAAAGATTAAGTTGTGATTATCTTGAATTTTTAAGAGGTATAACCAATTAAGGATATTGTACACCTCTTAAAGCTTACAACCTCCTACGATCTACCACCAAATCATTTAAATTTCGAAATTACATTTTATACCCTTAATTATAATTAGTGATTTGATTTACTTTATATCCCTTACGTTTTCATTTTTTATTTTACACCATTATCATATTAATATAAATAATCATATATTTATACTATATTAAAAAGTAGGAGTTTTAATTATTATTGAATTTTTAAGAGGTACAGTTAATTAAGAATATTTTATCAGTTCTTAAAGCTTACAACCTCCCACGATCTTCCCTCAAATCATTTTCAATTTCAAAATTACATTTTATACTCTTATAACTAGTGATTTGATTTACTTTATATCCCTTACTTTTTCATTTTTCATTTTTCATTTTTGATTTACACCCTTATCATGTTAATATAAATAATCGTACATGAACTAAAATGCATTTAAAAATGCAGTTTTTTTTAACAAATTACATCATTATAATTGTCTCGTCAATACCTTCGAATTGAGTCTAATATTGAATATTTTTTTAGATTTAATAATACTATTAAATATCATGAATATCTACAAATTAATTTGTTTTATATCAATACATTTTCATTTTTTATTTTACACTTTTACCATATGAAAAATGCATAATCATATATCAACTAAATACATTAAAAATGTGTTTTATTTATTTAATATACATTATACCATTCTTAATTGTCCGTGATTGGTTATAAAACCATCACATATTACTAGAAAAAATGTTNAATACAAATAATATCATTGTGTATTTTTAAATTTACCATTTATACAAATATAATATGTTGCGAGTGTCATTTGATGAATAATTAATATTTATTTTAATTAATAGTAACAAATAACTATTAATATTAATCAAGGTTATAATTGAAAAAACTAACAATAAACTCCTAAAAAGCTATTCTAATTAGTTTATCAATAAGTTAGTTTATGTCCATCTAAAGATGTACCCAAGAAATAAACTACTTATTTTTTTTTTTCCAAACAATGTCTAAATTGATTTAATTGATGTTTGCTTGAGTTTTTCTGATTAATTATTCAAGGTATAATTATTAGCAGCATACTTTTTAAGGCTATTTGTAGACCTCTATCATATATAAGAACCTTGCGATGTCCAAGAAATCAAGGTACATCTTTATATCTTTATCTATTACTTCACTAAAAGACACTAAATACGTAAGGAAAAAACAAATACCATATTACAAAATTGTATATTGACCCATGCATGCTATAAGCTTTAACGTCATCGTGTCATACATAAGCCTTGAGTCACGGCATGCCATGACGGATGTTGTGTTAAGCCTTTTAAAGCATTGGTTTCTATTTATTATTATTCTTAGATTTGATTATTACATGTTTTTTTATTGAGGAACATTGTGAAACATCAATCGATCTATGTGATAAATCATTTTTTTAATACAAAGCCACATTTTTCCAGGTTAATGATTCATATTGCTTTTCAATTAGAATAAATCGACTTGATTTTCATAAATAGTTCCTCTATGGAACATGAGAGTACAATTGATTTGCTTCACTTTACTATCGGTCTATCTTTTTGAAATATTCTGGTACTCAATCATTTTTTATCAAAACGAAGATAGTTTTTGAGTATTCTTATCATATATTTTTTTATTAAAACATAAAATTTGCATTTTATTTTTCAATTACAAGTTGTAAAACTATAAACCACCAATTAATGCATACGTTGATCTTTAAAAGGCAAGAACAACAAATACTTTTGGTTAAAAACACTATTTCAAAATCTTTGACCAATGGAACATTTAAACTTTGAATTTATAGGTCATCTGATTTTTGATTTAAAATCACAACAAACTATAAAATTAGCATCGAAAGGGACAGAGAATAAAACAAAATTTGAAACAATATTATCGTTTCAGGTTGTCGGCTTCATAATCAAAATGATTTGCACAACATCGCGCGTGGCTATGTTCCTAGTAAGAGCATAAATTGCAAGTATTAAAAATAAATTCGTAATATATAATAGTATGATTAGATCCAAAAATATTAAATATTAGGCTTATTTTGAAACTATTTACGTGACGATTATAATGGTGTACTTTTTAAAAAAACCAAACATATTTTAGTTAGCATATGTTTATGTATTTTGGAAGCTATGATAGTAAATTTATTTATAAAATATTAATGATGAATGTATTATTGACATTGATTAAGAATATTATGAATGGTGGAAAAACAAAGATATTTATAATGAATAATATCCATGAATAGTTAGACATATTTATCAATAATGGTTAATGAATAATTGATTCTCATTATTCTTAAAATATATACAGTAACTTTCCTTAGTTGTGTAACTATTTGTCTTTGGGAGAATAACATAAGAACCATTTTTTCGTTTCATATTCACGATTCTGTTTCTAAACATCCCATTAACGTAGAAGTGAAAAATACCTGCCCGGAGGATAGTTTTCAAGTTTTGAAAACACAAAGCTCATATATTGAAGATAGTTCTTTTTGGAGACAACCGATTTTTTTTTGTAAGTCGTGGCGATCTTTATAGAAACAACTTCTTTATCCCATGGGTAGCGGAAATGTCTTTTTTACTCTTCTTAGGCCCCGCCCCTACTTCTGATGGGATATACTAAATTCGCTTTGGTTGAGAGTTTATGTGTGCTTTCTTACTTGGTTTACGTCTTTTTGTGTCTTTTCACATCACTTATTTTTTCCGAAAGTTATTTTGCCCGTCAAATTCTTTTCTTTCCCACTCACACTTTTACACAGGCCTGATCTTTAAAAAATATTAACAGACTCTGCTTTACTGAGTTTATTTGATTTGGTTTTTGAGGTTAATAAGTGAGTGGTTAATGCAGGTTCAACATATACATACTCAACAGGAGACAAGCAACACTTATACATAAATGACCCAGAGCTGGTTAAGGAAATGAACCAATCTATGACCCTTGGATTGGGAAAACCTTCTTACATTACCAAAAGATTGTCACCTCTTCTTGGTAATGGAATCTTGAGATCAAATGGCCAGTTTTGGGTCCACCAAAGGAAAATAATTGCCCCTGAATTCTTCATGGATAAAGTAAAGGTACATCAATACTTTTTACACTACTCAACAAACCAATCAAACGAAAAAGAAAAATAACACGCAAACATATAGGGCCCACTCGATAAACCTAGACCGGTATTTATAGCGACCGAATCTTTTTGTTAATTGTGTAGGGTATGGTGGGGTTAATGTTGGAGTCTGTTGAACCACTTTTGAGGAAATGGGATGCCTGCATTGAACCACAAGGTGACCCCCGAGCGGAGATACGAGTTGACGATGATTTGAGGGCGGTTTCCGCGGATGTGATATCTAGGGCTTGTTTTGGAAGCTCTTATACCAAAGGGAAAGAGATTTTCTCCAAGCTCAGAACCCTTCAGAAAACCATCTCTTCCAAAGGCATGCTCTTTGGCCTTCCTGCTTTTGGGTAAGCTACAAAAAATGTCACCCCTTTTGAGTTCTTACTACAACAAAATGGACTTTTTTAGGACGATCTAATAGAGTAATTAATAGGACCCGGAACGGTAACTTTGACTCCTATACAATGGCGTTACAAAGTAAAACTGTCTAATAATAAAATACAAGAAATAAATAGTCTTATTAAACTCTTTTATATGATACAGTGTCCTATAAAAACATTAAAATTACTGGTTATTTCTTGAGTTATATTAGATTGCCCAACTTTATCGATGGAAGTTGTTAGGTCAGTCTTACTTCGTCCTAACAACTTACTGTAACGCCATTTTTTATATATAACACATAGTTGTTAGTCCTAAAACCTAGAGTCCCATTGAGAACTCTATACTAAGCGGCTTAAAAGACCCATTTTGTAGTTTACTCTGCTACAAAGATAATGAGAAAAAATCGTCAAATAATGAGTTTATATGATGCAGGCAAAGGAAAGATGTCAAGAGTTTGGAGAAAGAGATAGATTCGTTGATATGGGAGACCGTGTGTGAAAGAAAATGTCAAGAAACACCATCGTTGAAAAAAGATTTACTGCAAATGATATTGGAGGAAGCCATGGACCATTTCGCGAGCAAAGAAGCAAGTCGGCATTTCATCGTTGATAACTGCAAGAATATCTACTTTGCAGGACACGAATCGACAAGTGTTGCTGCATCGTGGTGCCTGATGCTGTTAGCGTTGCATCCACAATGGCAGACTAATATACGTAACGAAATGTCTGAAGCTTGTCCTAACGGTTTATTGGATGTAGATTCACTCCCTAAGCTGAAATCGGTACATTCCATACTCTATCGACCTTGTTCATCGTACAAAACTTCATATAGACTCCTAACATGGGTAAAGGACATGTTTGCGTACATCCCACCCCAAGACCCGACTTTCATCGCAACAAAATCGGCTTTATCAATAGCCAAATATGTCTAAATGTCCTTTTACACTGTTTTATAGGACCAAATAATCTTGCGCCCTATATAACAGTGTTGAAAGAAGTTAATAGGATGCTCTTTTGGGCATCTTAACAAGTTTTTCGTACACTTATGAAATAAAACGTCATACTACTCTTTTTATATGACATCATTCGAAAAGGCGTCTTGTAAGAACAAGTGTTCTATAAAAAGATTAGATATTTCTCAAGAGTAACTTTTAAAAAAACAAATAAGACATTTTATCTTAAAACAGCTTAAAAAACTTGTTAAAACACTTGTCAACTTATTATAGCATCTTTACATAGGAAGCTCCTATAAACGTAAGCCTACGAAGCAGTCTAGTAAGACATGTAGACGTATTTGACGTCATGGATTTTGTCGCAGTGTTTCTAGTGGGATATAATAGGTACATATGGTTTGGATTGGTTATTCCTAACGATCCATTCACATGTAGGTAAAAATGGTGATTCAAGAAACAATGCGCTTGTTTCCACCCGCGGCTTTCGTGTCAAGAGAGGCGCTAGAAAGGACAAAAATAGGGAATTTGGACGTGCCTAAAGGCGTATGCATATGGAGCCTGATCCCGACTCTGCATCGTGACCCTGATATCTGGGGACTCGACGCCCACGAATTTCGACCCGAGAGATTCGTTAATGGCGTAACAAAAGCATGCAAAGCCCCACAAGCTTATGTTCCCTTTGGAGTTGGCGCTCGATCTTGTTTAGGGAGAAACTTCGCCATGGCTCAGTTAAAAGTCGTCATCTCCCTCATAACCTCGAGGTTTACCTTTTCGTTATCTCCAAATTATCGGCATTCGCCTACTTACAGAATGGTTGTACAACCTGGGCATGGTGTCAACATCCTGATTCAAAAACTTCAATAACAGCAGTAGCAGATTATATAGAATCTTTTAGACAAATTGTTATGCATTTGAACAGATAACATCTGTAGAATCAGTTATTTGATCTAATAAATTAAGTGCATACTCTATTGATTAACACACCCTCAATGCAAAACTTTTATTACAACAAATTGGATTTATAGGACATCAAAGATGTCTAAGGGGCTATTGGTTGGTTTTCTATTAAGTCATGTATTGATTAAACTATCTGTGTGGATTAATCTCTCTCTATATATAGATTGAAAAGGTTTTTGTTTGGGAATGTTTTTTCATAGATGGAATGAGTATGTTTTTTAATTGGGAAGGACATGTTTGAAAAAACTTGAGTTTTTGTATAAAGCTCTCGATAGAAGCTTACTGAATAATGTTGGTGATTTTAGTGTCATCAAGCATTTTGGTGTAATTGTGATTTACTTGAGATTGATCAAGGCAATAAGGCAAACATACGTAAGTTAGGTGGTGCTACACTTACAAATGTTGCTCTTATATCCTTAGATTGCCATAAAGCAGGAGTCAAGGGGGTCGTTCCCCCTTCCGGGGTTCTAGGGGCAGCGCCCCCTTTGGATCTAAGTTCTTAGACTTAGGAATTTTACAAAATTAGAAATCAGCATGAGGTATTGCTGGATCGTGTTCCACCTATCGCTGATTAGCTTCAGCTGTGGCTGAAGAGTCCTCAAATGTCGCTGAAGAGCCTTCAACTATTGATTAACTTATCATTGAAGGAGTCCTCAGCTGTCGTTGAAGAGCCTTATGCTATTGATCAGCTTATCATTGAAGGAGTCTTTAGCTATCACTGAGCTCCTCTTCAGCTATTGTTGAAGATACATGTTCCAGAACTTAAATTCGGTTCTAACAGCCTTTTGACCTTATCCATTAACGGTTATAACCGTTCAACCGCCAATAACTGTCGATCTCTTATTTAAATATATAAAACGAGAATCTGGGTATATATGTCGTTTTTCACAGCCCTTAGATACAAGAAAAATCTTTAGATATTATCTCAATACGAAATTCGTGAACCTAAGGCTAATAGGGTCGAATGATTGTATTCAAAAAGTGCTTTTCGACACAATTTTTGAGTTTTATCCAATCCCATACATAGTCCCTAACAAATAAGTTCTTTCTATATCATTAAGCCACTACCAAATAGCTGGTCATATAGGCTACGAGTCCAATTAATATAATTAAGCTGCTAATAAACGAACCCTAAATGTTCTAATAGATTGTTTTATAGGACTAAACAATTGTACGTCTTATATAAAAGTGATATAATAGGATGCTAGGACATATTTGACATCCGAACGCATCTTTTTATAGAACACTTGTTATTATAAAGGACACCTAATAAATGTCAAATATAAAAAGACTAATATGACGTTTCATTTCAAAATTGTTCTACAAAACATGTTACGGCCCCAGAAGTGTTATATAAATTTATTGTAATACATTTATACATGATATACAATTGTTTAGTCCTCTAAATTTAAGTCCTATTAAGTAGTCTATTAGAACACGTAGACATATCCTAAAGGGTTTCTTCTATGCACGTTGGATGAAGATCGTAGCCACAAACATCACATGAAAACGCCCAAAACGTCCCACGTTTCTTGCAGAAATCACAAATGTATGCTTTGGGCATCTCCAGTTTAAGAATGTGTTCATGCTTACAGTCCTTAACTTCTTGACGCAATCCATCTCCTTCCATCGTTAATGAAGCTTCTATCTCCAAGATCTTTGGTTCAGTAAACGGGAAGCCACGAGCACCATATAACGAAATCATCGCTCGCCCATTTGTGCTAATCGTTCGCCCATCTGGTCCTAGCAGTATCAAACTCGGGATCCATTTGATTTCAAAAATCCTACAGAGGTCTTGCCTTGACTTATCATCGAAAGGGATGGCTAGCCATGGCATCTTGGTTAGGCTGAGGTCAAACTCTTTATGGTCTCTATCGGTTGAGATAAAAATGACTTCAAATTCTTGATTTGCATTCTTGATAATGTCGTTATATGCTTCAACGAGTTGGGTGGTGAAATCACGACAAGGTGGACACCAATGTGCACCAAAGTATAGACCTATCGTCTGGCCAACAAGCTCCGATGGATGTATCTGCAAGACCATCAAAAGCTCAACGGAGAACACAAATCCTAAAAGTTTCACTACTAGAAAACTGGGTATTTCCGGCGGATTTTATGTGGACAACTAAAAAGTCAACTTTCGTTGACTTCCATCGGAAATCCGCTGGTAATTATATTCTGGCACATTTCCGGCAGATTGTACAAATTAAATTTTTGTGAAATAATTAACTCTAATTACAATAAGTTACCGACGGATTTCCGGCGGATTTTTGATTAATTGTTTAAGATTAGCGTCCGCCCAATAATTAAAAATAAAAATTTATTTTTTTAAGTTACCGTCGGATTTCCGGCGGATGCTGGTAATTTAAAATGATAGATTATTCAATATTTTTTTTTTAAAATTGTTGGTTTCCAACGGATTTCCGGCGAACAACTTTCCGGTAGATTTCCGGCGGATTTTTGATTTTTTTTCCCGTTTTTCATACTTTTGGTTTATATATATGTAAAATATTACATATATTCCACATGGAATGTATAGTGAATATTAATTCTCTTATCGAGTCCAACACACATAAATGTAATGCAATACATACTTATATACAAACATATTATCCGATGTCCTCGTTATTCTTGGACTTTAAAAACTATTAAAAAAAGTCTTATTTAGGTTTAAGGATCTTAGTTGAGCCCAATACACACCACATGCTGATATGCAATACATGTTTTCTCACATACCTATATATAAACTCTGTTTTCCGGCAAATAGCGCAGTTGGAAATGTTGACAAGTTTGGTAGTGTTTTACAAGCATATGAAAACATCCACACCAACCAAATCAGGTTTATAGGACGTCAAAAATGTTTAAATGTCTTATAGGACCAAACAATTTACATCCTATATAAATATGTTACAATTAGTTGATACGACCCTTTTGAACATCATAACAAATTTTTTAGAACAAATAAAGTGTCCATTAGTTTTTTCTCCAAAAAGATGTGTTAGTAAAAGGCTAATCATATATTTTTCAAAAGTGTCCTTAAACACTGGTCAAGATGTCCAAATACGTCCCAACATGACACTGTAACACGCATACAATTGTTTGTTCATACAATTGTGTGTTCCTATAAAACAATCTATTAAGACATTTAGACATCTTTGACGTCCTATAAAACCGATTTTGTTGTAGCGATCAAATGAATACGAATTACTAACCTTTACACCTTTGTTGGAGATAAAGGAGTTTTTAGTTCCATTAAAAAGTTCATCCAACTTCCCTCCTTGACGCTTTGCTTCATCGATAGCCTTCAACTCTTCATGGCTTTTCTTGGTGAAGGGAAATGCATCGGCACCATAGTCCTTTATCAACCCGACTGCATCTTTTGCGAGCACTTTTGGATCAACACCCAATGGTATAAACGATGGGATCTGATTAACTTTGTACAGATTTCCAAGAATCTTCTGTAATTTGACATCAAATGGAACCACAAGCCATGGCATGGTCTTAGAGTGTTCTTTAAATCCATTTTCATCTCGATCAAAGGATACAAAAATAACTTCTAGCTCTCGGCTGGTGTCTTTTAGCACGTTATACGCTTGCACCAATTGTGGAATAAAAGCCTTACACGGCCGACTCCAGTTTGCAGAGAACAATAAGCAAATCATCTTGTCTTCACCCGATGGTAACGGTACCTAGCATCACAAAAAAATTAGCACAGATTCTCCGATCATTCTCATTAACTAATAAAGAAAGTTGTATCGATGGGAATATGTGGAACCCCGCTAGACTACTCTCCAAAAAAGAGAGAAGAATATAGAAGAGAAATGTGTCAAGTCTAGTTTATGTGGGACTCTACCATGACCATCCAACGAAGACTAGATGGACACATATTATCCTAGAGTCTTGAGAGGGGGTAGATGGGTTCAAATTGGCCTAGGCTGTCAAGTCCCTCAAGTGGTAGATATTGACTCTGATATTATGTGAGGATATGTGGAACCCATTAGACTACTCTCCAAAAGAGCCATTGAGGAGAGAGAGAAGGTTCCAATGGGTTAACTATAGCAGATGGAAGACTCTAACATTATTCTACGACAAGCAGCCCACAAAATAAAGCAACCAAGATTCAAAACCATACAAGTTGCATCAATGGGTCTCACTTATGATTCAAATCGGCAAACATCAGACTTTCTATATTGGAAACCACGCTATCAAGTGGATCGAATTATATGAATGAACCATATCAATCAAAAGAAAACATCTTTCCAATCAAGATCATCAAAAACCTTAATAATTCAGAACAATCATAAGCAAGTCAATATTTCTTTGATACCTTTTGTTCACCAGATAAGAGTTGGTGAATTCCTTCTTGAGCCAAAATAGTTGTGAAGCCATGATTGCAAACCTCATCAACAGCAGATTCACAACCAGCTCCTCCCATGGCACCTTGAAGCACTGAAAACACTTGAGCCAAGTTTCTTGATGATCAACTTGAAGATATTTTGCACACTTTTTTTTGCTTGCTTATGGGTCACTCTATTTGGGTTCCAAATAATCTATCCGACTTATTGGAATTTATACCCTTTTATGATATTGAATATTATATGTATGGGGGATTTCAGCATATTCTTTTATGCTCATTTAAAGAATCATTGTTGCATTATGTTCTGTAAGTCTTTGGATGGTGTCTTTCCAAGAAAAATGGCTAAATGACCACTTTGCCCTTGTAATAGAAGATGACCATTGGTTTGCTTTTCAAAATATAGTGCTTTGTTTTAGAGAAAATGGAACAATAACGTTAGAGCAACTCCAATCATGCGTCAAGATTAAGCATCGTTTGTCGGTGATGAAATTCCATTCACATGGTAAAACATAAAAAAGTTTGATTGACGATGTATATGGCGTTAAATTGTTCACATTGCAAAAATGGTCGGCCCACAATTTTCCGTTTAAGAATTTATAGTAAAATTTCTTCTAATTTCCAATGTTTATTTTGAAATACATGAACTAAATATAAGTTCATAAACAATTTACAATGTAAAATTTATTAATGTATATCTTTTCTCGTAAAGACAAGAACAACCATATTGCTTGTGGTTGGTCCAAAATTGTTCATCCTCCGAGAGAATTCTGGATGCTCGGAGATTTTTTTTCCTATTATTTTGAGGTTTGCACAAATTGATCTAGACACCCAAAATTACCCAAAAAAAAGAAATACCTGACATTTAAGCTCAATCAACTTCGGAATCACTTCATCAAACAAGATTTACAGACCCCATCATCCAAACCTTGGACAAAATTTTAGCATAAGACAATCCATGATCAGGATCTAGTATATACAAGTCTTTGTATCATGATCATATGATGAATACTCTTGATTCATGGTGCACCTTTCTTTAAAGAACATGCCCAAGATCCCTACTTGGCATTTCATCAAGCATATGGCGTGCAAAATAACGAATCGCATATATCGGGTTTCCCATCAATAAAACCCTACTCAAATTATCTTCATCCACATGGTGTTTGATGGTTTTGGGATAATGGGTGCACCTAGAAACATGTTGAGCCACAATATTTGTTGGATTGAAGACTGATGTGATCTGGCAGTAGAAGTTATGTCATGGGCCGTTGATACGGTCCCCTTCGATGGCCTACTTCCATTTTCTTATCTTGTTTTTGTAGTGGAAATTGAATGATTGTTTAATCTGGAAAATAGACGCGTCCCAAGTTCCGATGGATTGTGGCCCTTCTGAACTGAAAAGAAAAAGTGAAAATATGTATTAACTCGTAGTTTTTACTGAAGTGAGGGAGAGAGGAGAGATGGCGGTTGTGGGTTCAGTTCACGGTGGTTACCTCCCCTCCAAATTACAAACCCTACCGCCGGTTAAAATATTCAACAACCAACAAAGATCAATCCATCAGCGCCGGCCGCCAACGCCTCCAATTTTCATATCCACGAATTTGTCACACGTAAACCCAATTCACTTACGAGACCTTTATAGCTCCTGCAACCATTCCTGCCACCGTTTCCCCAATATCTTTCCCGATGGACGAGTAGAGCCCGTCGACGTCGCCAAACTCCGAATCGCCCTCATCCACAGCTCCGTCGTTGTTTCCGTCTTCGCCAGACCAGAAACTGTCACCTCATTACCGGAAAATTTGAATACTGGGGATGATTGGTACCGGAAAATGATTCCGTTGACGCCATTTAGCGGACAATTGGTGGGATTTGGGCGAGCTGTTTCTGATAATGGATTGACTGCTTCAATCTATGATGTCATGGTACAAACTCTAACTATGGTGATTTCATTTTTCTCCATTCCGAAAGCTAAATTTACAGTTTTCCATTGAATGTTTATCCGAATTTAGCATAATATCATTCGTATTTAGATCAGAATGCTTGTTCTTGGTAGTTTATTTCCATCTTTGGATCATTTAACAGAGCATCCTTGTGTTCTTCTTTGATATATCATAAGTATTAAATTTGGATCTTTGAATATGATTCATTCATTCACAACATGTTCAGAAGCAAATTAGCAACACTAGGCAAGATGGGAAATCGATACAGATTCTATAAACAAGTTTCTTGAAACTGAAAATGAATATGATCATTCTGAGTTGGGTTCAGAAGTGTACAAGAATTTAGATTGATTTTCAAGTTGAATGTAGTGTTCATGTAATCTTATGTCAGTGACTTTGTAGGTAATCCCCTCGTTACAAGGTCGAGGAATTGGGCGTATGATTCTTCAGAGAGTTATAAGGTATGTAAATGTTCTTTGAGAACTGTTAGAACCAAATATTCATAATAAATATCCTAATATTCATTATGAATAAATATTATAATATTCATTATGAACAAATATTCAGTCATTGGTAATAAAGGAGACAAATGCTCCATTTGGTTGCAGATTGCTTACAAATAAAGGGATATATGACATAGCAGCTGTGTGTTCTGATGAAGAAATGTAAGTTACTACTTCATTGTTGTAGAACACAATCAATGAAATGATGATGGGTAAATAGGTAATTGTACCCTTTACAAGGAACTAACTATTGATAGTTTTCTTGGCATATGATAAAAATTATCATAAAAACTGGAGAAGATAAAAGATGTGTGTAATTGAATTGTCTAAAATACCCTCAGGGATTTCTTCAAGGCATGTGGATTTGGAGATGACATATTGGGATCAACAACAATGATGTATAGCAGGAGTGGCAATGATCATGATATGGTTAAAATTGCTGGTAGGAAATTACTCATGGTTCCACCACTTAGAAAACCCTGAAATATCCACTCAGTTACAAAGAAAAAGAAACCATTAAAAAGGTTGTGTTATTGAGTAAAATGTATCATTGAATTTATAAGGAATACCAATGGGGCATGCCTTGTTGGGATCTTGTTTTTTCATGAGATAGATTTGAAGATGATTTTAATCGGGTTGAAGTCTGATATGGGTAGTAGCTCAAATGTTTGTATCCTTCAACAGTTTTTTATGTTTTGGGTAATCTAACTTTCCGGGTTAGTTCTCGAGCCACCGTAAATGGCCTAACAGTCATCGCAGGTAAACCCTCCTAGAATAGCGTATGGGTTCGAACTCGGGATAGATGAGATTTTCCACTACAAAATTAATTAATATGCCACAAGTGGTTTGGTTTGGTTTGGTTAAGCTTAAGCTTTTTTGTTGTATATTGTAGAATTTGTGTCTTATAATTTGAAAATATATTTTATATGTTCGAATGTCGTTGAAAAAATCATATATAGATTGAAAGAAATTGAAGTCAAAGGCTGATAAGGATGGGCTGATAAATATGGTGGGAATCTGGCCCACTTAAAAGTTGCAATATTTGATTTGATAATGAAAATCTTGTAGGTTGTGCTTGGTATAATGAATAGAACAAAAGAACAATCATTGTTTCATGTTTGACATGACTTTTATGTAGAAATACATAAACATACGGCGGAACAAATTGGGACAGGTGTGTTCCATTCCATCCAATGGAACAAGGTGGGTGTATACCCTCAAAATAAAATATAATTCTCTTCTAAAACATCAAATACGTATTTTTTAATTTTTATTTATTGTATTTTATCCTCTCTAAAATTTCACTTTATTGTCTTCAGTATATTATTTTTATATGTTTTTGTTATAGAATAACTGAAAAAGAACAACAATATAATAGAGAGAAGGAATATGTAATTCTCATCAATCATAATCACTTCTAATCCAACTCTGATATATCTATCTTTATCAAAATCGTCATACCCTTTATACGATGGCACACTTATCCTACAACACTCCCCCTTGTGCCGAGTCAAAAGAGTGATGGTACATAATCGTTGCCTCATTAAAATCTTACGCCAAAATAAAAACCAATGGGAAAAATTAAAATTAGGACGAAAGAAAGAGTACAACGCACCAGTTTCTTTGCAATACATAAACTTTTAATCATGAGAATTAGAAAAGCATGATGATATCATAAATTGTTGCATCACTAAAACCTTACACCAAGGAACAAAACCCAATGGGAAAAATAAAACCTTGGATGAATGAAAGAGCATAACATACCAATATTACATATATAGTAGACTCCCTTTTTGTCTACCGCTCCCCCTGGTTTGTGCATTAATCAAGAGAGTTTAGAAAGTCAACACATTACGATACTTTCTATATGTTTCCCAAATATGGTTTTAGGTAATGATTTGGTATGTAAATATGTTACATTCTTCTGCCATCATACTTGATTCACTTGAATCTAGAGAAGAGTTTGTTATTGTTGATTGTGTATAAACCTAAACCAGAATATGTTTTGTGTTATCACCCTTGATGTATCTTATTTTCATTTATTTGATACACGATGCATTATTTCATATATACAGGTAGGGTATTGGATGAATTCAAAACACTAGTTCCTCTAATATGTGTAATGATAGTCCTTAACCATGTACACTATTGAATAGTCTCGTGTAGACTAATATTCTTGGAATAGTTCGAAGGGGCAGCTACAAGGGTTTGTCTGGTTTACTTCCAAGCAATAGGCATGTTCCCTATGGTAATTCTTTATCCAATTTGGGAATGACCTTTCTATGAGTCAGGTAGATATTTAGTATTAGCAAAGACATACCAAGACATTATTGGATTTTTTATATAAAAGGCTAATACTTTTGTTGTTCACTATCTAAGTAGGTATTGGAGTTCCATTATCAATCCCATTTTTCTCTTTGTAGGAAAGTATAAGCCCACGACAATGATTCCAAAAGATTAATTTTATATCATTCCAATAACGTTGTGTTGGCATTGAGCTAAATCTAGCTAACAAGTTCATTGAAGATACAATATATGGTTAAGTGTATTGTGCCAAGTATAATAATGCGCATATTGTACTTACATAGGGAATTTCAGCTCCCAGCACCTCTTTGTCATCATCCTTTAAAGGAAATAGATCTTTCCTTATATCCAACACTTGGACCGATCATGGTGGTGGTAGCCAAATACATTTTGTCTAGGGGTGTAAATGATGCAAGTCGAGCTCGAGTATCACTATACTTGACTCGAACTCGAAACCCAATTTCCAAGCTCGAACTCGACTCGAAAACTCGCGTGTAGTAAAAATCATTGCTCGACTTGAACTCAATAACTATTTCTCGAACTCGAACTCGAGCTCGAATCATGCTCGAGCTCGAATTAAGCTAGAATCGAGCTCGAATCAAGCTCGAACTCGAGCTCGAACCAAGCTCAAAACAAGCTTGAACTCGAATCAAACTCGACCCAAGCTCACCCATTGAAATTTATGAAATTTTAGGATTTTTCTCTTATAAATTTTAACTTAAAGGTGTTCTCTGAGTTTTTTATAAAACTAAAGGATCAATTTCAAACTTCATCATCAAACAAATAAAGTTATAAATTTCATTCACCTCCCTATCTTTTTATAACATTTTTTCTCTCCTCCTTACCATCTCTCTTCCAATGTGGGACAATTTCACTAACCCTTTATATAGTTTTTCTTTGTCTTTTTTTTTTAATTGTGATTTAAAAAAATATTAATTAAGTTTTATAATTAAAAGATGCATAATATTGTTTAAATTTCTAAAAATATAAGACATTTTTATTATTTATATTTTACAAACTTTATTCATAAACTAATTATATATAAATTAATCGAGTATCTCGCGAGCTTTTCGAGTCGAGTATTGGGTAGCTTGACTCGACTCGTTAATATATCGAGTCGAGCTCGAGTTCGAGCCGAGCCTATTCGAGTCGAGTGTTGACCGAGTTGATCTCGAGTAGCTCACGAGTTGTCTCGTATCATTTACACCCCTAGTTTTGTCCATATTAGATCGTCTGATCATTTTCTGGACATATGTGGATCGGTGGAATATCATTCCCCGAACTCATTGTCCTAGCTCAAATAGCTAGACAAAACCAAGTTTTTCCATCTTTCATCTCATATTTAGATTTCAAGTAGCTTGTGGTTTCTCTTATTTCATCAATAGTGCCTATTATGTTCATAACATCGACATATAGAGTAATTGAAAGTCTAGAACTTGTTTTTTTTAATAAATACATAAGGGCACGGTTTATCGTTCTTATATCCCTTCCCAATCAAGTATTCACTTAGGCATGTATACCACATTCGCCCTAGATTGCTTTAATCTATAAAGTGAGTGTTTCAATTTTATTGCAAACGCACTCCGTGGTTTGGAGTTACTTGATTTGGATAATATAATGTCATCAAACACTTTTATATATCTCTGAATCTAGATCCCCATAGAGATATGTAGTAACCACATCATTGAGCTGCATTTCCAGTTTTTCAGGAACTACTAGGTTAATTAATAAGCAGAACGTTATAACATCCATCACGGGAGAGTAAGTCTTCTCATGGTCAATCCAGGGCGTTGTGAGAAATCTTCCGCCAAAGGAGATCCTTATATATTATAACTTAATTATTCTCATTACGCTTTCTAAAAAATGATTCTTTATACTTGGTGGGTTAGAACTACTTGACCAAATACCCATTCATTTTTCAAGTAGTATAATTTTCCTGGATTTTTTTCTTTTCATTTAGGCCATATTTTCTCTTCGTTGACATTTTTCAGCTGAGCATGGTTCAACGTCATTGTGTCCTATCATCTTATGAGCAACAATATATATATCATCAATGAGTATGTATGATCTGTCAACCGACTCATATGCACTCTCATAATTCATTTGCAATTTCTTTGATCTCTGGAATCAATATTAACTTCAGAGTGTCCTCCAGTAATGATTCATAGACATATTTTTAATCAAAGACAATCTCATGAAAGGTATATGTATTGATGATAAATGGTTGTGCCTTATACTTCGTTTCCTTTAGATGAGTATATATCGAACCAAGTAGCTTCCCCATTTCCTTTTAGGAGCCATGACCTTAACCACACCTCCACCATGTGTGATTGCAAGACACTTTCCAGCAGCAGTGTGCCCTTGTTTGCTAACTTTTAACCTTGCGGGTATATTTGCAGTTGGTATATGTGATCTTGTCACTCCTTAAATAACATTAAACGTATCAGGTATCGGGTCTGATTCGTTTGACTTCAACTTTATATTGTGAAGTTTGAGGATCAAAATGAGACAGAATGAGAATATTCTATGACACTTCCTGTCGTTCCCATGAAAAATCATTTTTCCTATCTCCCCCTAACGATGAGAAGACTGTTTCATCAAAGTGACAACTGACAAATCTAACTATAAAGAGATCACCTGTCAAGGGTTCTAAGTAGAGGATAATTGTCAGGGTTTCATATCTAACTTATATATAATCATCTTTAAGGATCCATTTTGGTGCGCTGTGGGGAAGCAATTGGCACATATACTACACAACCAGACATACATAAATGTAAAATATCAGGCTTATATCCAGTTACCAATTGGTACGCATGATATTGGTTGGTTAGTAATGGGTCTAAAAACGAATAAATAAGGTTGCATGTAATATTTGCATAACCCCATGCAGATAATTTGGTATGCATAACCAATGCCTTAAATATCATCTATATTCTTTTCACGACAACTTCTACAAGACCATTTTTATATATACACATGGGGTAAGAAACTCTATATTAATCCAAATACATATGCAATAATCATCAGATTCTTATGATGTAAATTCACCAACATTCTAAGTCATGCAAACTTGATGAGATGATCAGGGTGGTGAGCCCTTAAATGTAAGCTAGTGCTAGGAGTGTAGCATCTCATATGGAAAATAGTATGACATGCATTCATCATGTCGAAACCAGAACCATAAAGTACTTTAATGGCCCGCATTATGGATGTTTATGTCCATAAATATCACCTTGTATTTCGTTGTAAGAATGAAATATTTTTGTATTATGCTCTTAGCTTTATGATGGTCTCATTCTTGTCTTGGCTAAGGATCAGGGTATACAA